ATAGTTTTTTATAATACATGATTATGTAAAAAATAAGTAAAAAAGGAGAGCATATAAAATATATTACAAAAAAAGACTAAAAAACTAAGTTCTTTTGTTTAATTAGCCATTTGATTGATGATTAGTTTGCCGTTTAAGCTGTTTGATGTACTTACCCCAACTGGAACCGGTGCGTCCAAGGCATTGGCTAGTTTCACTGTTCCATAGGAATTTTTTGAAACCCTCCCACTTGCCCATTTTTACCGGCGGTGCATAGTATTCACCAATTTTTTTATCGGCCATTTTTAAGCTTTTGTTTTCTCGGCGCTGTTGATTTCACTTGAATTACTTATTCGTCTTGTCACTCGGGTTGTTGGGGGTGTCTTGTCTATCAAGCGAGTTCTTGTTAAACTATTTGTTACGTGTAGTTCTTTGTAGCTTAGGGTTTAAATTTAAGTTTATAACGCTTATTGAATATTAATGAATTATATATATTTTTATTTATATATGTTTTTGGTGTTAATTTTGGTTTTATTTTTTTGGGTGAGTTTTTCTTAATCAACTGCTTTGGTACATCATTTTTTTGGTTTTTTTTTTGTTGAATGTCTGTAACAGTATTTTGTTAAGAATTTTGCGCTAAATTTGTATGGTTACTGAAAAATATAAAAAGAAATTTGGTTTAAAATTTTTTATAGATATTTGTTTGCTGAAGAAGATTTGAAGTTTATTTCTCTTAATTTTTTTATATTGATTTTCATTTATGTAAGAGTAGCAGTATCTTCTTCTTTGCTATTGTATTTTCCTAGTAATGGGCTTGTAAACCAATCAATAGCTGTTTTCACTGCTTATGTAAAATTTTCCTTTCACACATTTGGCATTTGCCATACCTAGCTTTTTTTCATTTACCAAATTGCTTTTCTTCTTGGCCGCGATTCGGCGCAGGGATACTTTATTCCTAAACAACCATATTTGATCAGCTTTGTTAACCGTTTTTACTGTTTATACAATTTTTTAAATAGTTTTTTACACTATTTTTAAGACAAATATGAGCTCACTAGCGTAAACCAAATGGAAGTCACCTCTGCCGATTTTAGCCACACGCTCTGCCAACTGTTATGTAATCTCAAGTGTGGAAAAAAGCATCGGCAAGCCAAAACCAAGCAGCAACGAGCATGCGCACAGAATCGAAGGGAGCCAGAAAGCGTTGAAGAGAACGCTTCTGGAAGTGTTCCTTGGAAGGTTATTTGTTCCCTTTCTGGGGGGTGGAGATTGGGGCTTGGGATTGGGGGTTGGGGGTTGGGATGGGGATAGCGATAGGGGTTGGGGTTGGGGTAGGGGTCCCTGCCATGAAAGTTGACAGCTGGGCGCCAGCTTAATGACAGTTTCGAGGGGGGCTTGGGGAGTGGGTAGTGGGTAGTGTGGTGTGGTGTGTACCCGCTGGGCTCAGCGCAAATCCGATCCTAGAAACCGCCGGGAATTGGTTTGCAGTTTTTGCAGCAACCGCAATGGCAATGGCAACCCTGTTCGGCTGACGCCCAAGGGTAGGCAACACATTTTTTTCGCAATCAACGTCGGACAATGGACAATGTCCCGAAACCGCCAGGTCAGATATCCTTAAGATGTTGATGCCAGCAGCGTTCTTATCGCAGGGACTAGGACTTTCGTCCTGCCCCCCTTTTCTTCTTTTCATGGAAGTGTAGAGCTCACACTCAGAAATTCGCTTGGCTTGACTTACATTTTGTTCTGTAGCTGATGACGCCGCTGCCGACGTCGCTGTCTTTTCGCGGCGCTCATTGCGCAACGCGCCCGACTCGACTCGGCCCCACCATATAGCTATAGCTATATAGCTTCTATTTCTGTTCCTACGGCTTTGGATGGTGATGGTGGGTGGGTGGTTTTTTGGCTGAATGTGACTGTGGATGTGAATGTGGATGTGGATGGGAGTGTGAATGTGAGTGCCTAGCCTAGAAAAGGGCAAAGCGCACAAATGTAGGCAACGCACAAACACAAAGCTGGGGATACACAAATAGGCATCATTTCATTCCCTTTGCGGTGCTTAGTGCAATTTTCCTGGCTATTCGGATCTTCGTTTTCAATTCTTAGAAATCGATAGGACCAGCGTTTTCAATTCAAGCCAAACGTCCTTGACCCAAAGCTATCTTAATTAAATACCTGTTCTCTTACGCTACATTCTAGGTTTTCTTATAAATACCATTCACTTTCACTAAAATATCATTTTAAATAGTTACGTTTTTCACTCAATCACTCACTCACTCACACACACGCACACTTCATTTTACTAATTTGATTTGAATTTGCTTTTATTTTAGGGTCCTTCGTTATAGTTGCAGTCGAGCCAGCTAAGAAAAAATCGAATTTCAGTATGTATATAAGTTTTACAAGGATATCTTTCCTGCTGTGTCGCAGTGTCCTCATTGCCCCGAGACGTCGACGTAATCAATGAAAATTTTTTTTCCTTGGCACAACGAGCTTTCTGTGTATTTATAGCAATAATTATCGGGGGCACTTGATTCGATTCGCATACGTTGCGGGTGGGTACTTGGTTTATTTCAATCACTGTCTACCGAACACATCGATAACTTTATTTATTTAATTTTATGCTTGTGGCATTTTTTTTATGTAACCACCGAGATTTGTGGTGTTTGGAGAATACGTAAGACTGGTATTTGCAATGACACACATACAGAATGGATTTTCTTTCGCCTTCAAACGCTCCCCCTCTACGCAGACTTGTACATAATAGCTCCAGATAATATGGTATATATGCAGATGCATATATGTATATCTATGTGCCGTTAATCCGCCAGCGAATGCGAGTAGCAACCGTCCACAGTTAAAACGCCAATGATAGTGCCATCGTAGCCGCAGCTTGCAGCTGGGCTCTCGGTTTTGGTGAGGTTTCGGCTTGGTTCGTTGGGGTTCGTTTAGGTTCGTCTTCGTCTTCGGGTACGGCCAATTTCGGGGCGCTCTTGAGCGGTACGTGGCGCCCACCGCCCCCATGCGGAAAATCGCCAGCTCTCCTAAGCTTTTTGGAGCTTTCTGCTCAGCTGGAATAGCTAGCTTGGGTGGTCGTATAGCCTGCTGGGTGGTCGTATAGCCCCTCCTCCATCTCCTCTACATCCACGCAGGATGGTCAGAGGGTGGTAGTGGGTGGTGCAGCCAAGCTTTCAGCTACTTTTTCTATTGTGCCTTGCAGTTCGTGCCATCCAGTGGCTGCCAAACCTTGCAATCCGTGCAGGCTATCTGCCTAATGCCCAACTAACTAGGGTGCTTACAGATGTTGCAACATCACGAATAGAAAGGGGGTCAATCAATTGAATAAGAGCATTGAGTTCAACAGCTTAAATTTGTATTCTTTAATCATTAAATCCAAGAATTATAAAGAAATAATCACAAGTTCATAATTTTGCTACCGAATATCAAGAAGGCGCCTAATAATATGGTTTGGAAAATTTGTAGTTCCTTATCTAAGCCGAGTGTGCAGAGAACTTTAGGGCATTCAGGAAATATATAAAGGTTATTGGGCTCAAAGATTATCACTCATACGCACTGTTGCCTTTGATCAACAATTTATTTAAGTCTAGTTGCCGCAGATTCAAACCAAAAGTTGTTTGGATTGTTTTTCCTATTTTAAGCATATTTAAAAGATATTCCAAAAATACATACAGGTTATAATAAGGTTGTATTAGAAATTTATAAGACAACTTTGGAACTATAGCGTCAACATTTTTAAACAACATATATTGGATATTTCATGTTCACCAATATGCATTTGTGACTACAAAATACCAATTTAATAAGGAAATGTTAGAAATAACAAAATAGCTCTGGAAGAATTTTTAATGATGTTTCATTTTTTGCTGAATCATGTTTCTAAACTGACCAAATTAGTTTGAAAAACGTTTTTTTTAAATGTATGATTACAGACCGTATTAATTTTCCCTGGTTTGTAGCACTCTATCCTGTACAAATAAACAGGTATAACCATTTTCGAAGTTAGAAGTATACAGTGCATAAGTATTACTAGAACTTACTAAATTCTAGAACTATCTCTCCGAAGATAGTTCATGCGCTGTTTTTATGCGAGTCTAACCACACGAATACGGTTCAATCGGCGCAGAAGCTTATCAATAGTCCCAGAGGCGACCGCCAAAGACAAGGCGGCAAACTTTCAATTCCAGCGACCGTTTTCAAATGCGGCGAATCCGTTTTGGTCTTGCGCACTCTTTTAAAGAGAAATCTAAGAGAGATGCTCTCGGTTGGTTCTGGTAATATAATACTTATTGATTATTTTCTCTTTGACGCGGAGTTTGGGTTGAAGTTCCTTTTGAAACTGATGCCGGTCGTTTTGTCAAGTTATATAAAATGTAAACGCAGCCAAAATTTACTTCAACCACGCGACAGGCCTTGGCTTAACTTCATTTTATTAGAGGAGGGGAAGAGATTTTTAGTATGGTGAGATTAAAGATTGATTTATGGGGGAGCCCTTATTCTCGTGTTATATTTTCTCACACTCTTCAATTACGTCACTACTCAGCTGACTTGGAAGTTGCGCGCAATTAGTTATAAAACACCGACTTTGGTGCGACTTTACATTCACTGGGTATCAAATTTATCATTAAATTAACTTGGGAAAATTTCCTATTTTTGTAAGTACCGGTAAAAGGTGATATATTTTTATTTGATATGACTTAAGATTGGAATACATCTTTTTAAGGAACCTTTAAAACTAACTAACTTGTCTGAGATGCTGCAAGCTAATTTTCTGTTTCACTCAGATATTTGTAGTTTCCAAAATCTTAAATATTAAATATTTAAGCCAAAACTGAGAAATGTTTCTGTTTTCTTGTCTTTAAATATTCTCAAGTATCTACATTAATAATACAAATAATTATATAACACATTGTAAAAAAGTAATTTGTATTTTCTATAAGGTTCTAACTAATTTTAAGCTATGAGTCCGAAACATTAAAAATTCATTAATGAAATAAATACGTTGTTATGGTATTATTTATTAGATATATATAACTATAAGCTAGGCAAAACATTAAGTCTTATCATTCTTGGGCTTGGCCCTTCTCTGATTCCATTCTCTTTTCTTAAGTGCAAAGTTTTTATTAGTATTCAACAGTCACACACTTGGTCTTGAGGTACTCGTTGACCGCCTCCTGACCCAGATCCTTGCCATATCCGCTTTGCTTGAATCCTCCGAAGGGAGCGGCCACGTCCGTCTTGTTGTAGACGTTGATAAAAACAGTGCCGGCTTCGACGCGATCGGCGAAACTGAGGGCCTTTCCAATGTCCTTGGTAAAGACACCACTAGCCAGGCCATACTCCGTTCGATTGGCCCGCTGCATCAGGGAATCCACGTCGCTGCCGTTGAACTTGGAGATTATCATGATGGGCCCGAATGACTCCTCTTGGGCAATGTACATGTCATCGGTGACGTTCGTGAACACCGTTGGGGTAAAGAAGTATCCCTTGAGATCTGGCACCCGACATCCTCCGTACACCAGTTGCGCCCCCTCGGCCACGCCCCGTTGGCAGAAGTCCAGGAGCTTGTCGAAGTGTGCCTTGTGGTTCTGGGGACCATGGGCAGTGGAGCGGTTCAGCGGATCCCCGATGGTCATGGTACGCAGATCCTTGAGAACTCGTCTCACGAATTCGTCATGGATCCGATCCTCCACGAACAGTCGACCAGCGGCGATGCAGTTCTCCCCCTTGTTAAAGAAGACTGAAGACATGCCCTGGATAAAAGAAAGGGAAATAATTAGTGCTGCTTCTATAAGTCTTTTTTTCAAATTTCCATGTATCATTGGTCCTGGGTTTTCTCCTTTGTACAAGATTCTTTACAATATATATTTTAAAACAAATTAAACTCTGACTTGAAGGAACTTTAGCGTTAAAAAGGGATCTAGGGCTATTATGTTTAGCCTTTTTCATGGCAGATATAATATAATTTAGTATGTACATCCAGAAAAATTCTGTTAAACTTTAATTTTCGAGAATTCTATTCCTTTAAAAGTATAGATAAGAAAACATTTTGCAGTCAAGAAAAATAAGGAAATATTTTCTAAAATAAAAAAAAACGACATTAAACCCCAATTTCTTTAACTTAGAGCTACTTGTTTAATATGGATATGTAATATTTTGTCCCATTTACAAGACCCCACTCACGTGTTTGACAGCCTTGTCCATATCACAATCGGCAAAGATGATCAGCGGACTCTTGCCGCCCAGCTCCAGGGAGCACTTCTTGAGATTGGAGTCCGCGCAGGACTTCATGATGTGCTTGCCAATGGGCGTGGAGCCAGTGAAGCCCAGCTTGCGGACCAGCTGATGATCGGCGACTGCCTGTCCCGCATCCGAACCCTTGCCGGGCAGCACGTTGATCACTCCCGGTGGGAATCCCGCCCTGACAGTCAGCTCGGCGAACTTGAGGGCGGTCAGCGGGCAGGTCTGGGCAGGTTTAATAAGACAGGTGTTGCCGGCTGCAATGCAGGCGGCCATCTTCCAGGATAGCATCATAAGGGGGTAGTTCCAGGGCGTGATCAGCCCACAGACTCCAATAGGCTCCTTACGGGTGAAGGTCAGCACGTTGTTGGGCCTCGCGGGGTTGACGGGAATGGTACTGCCCTGGATCTTGTCGCACCAACCGGCAAAGTAGCGCCACGCATCGATGGACATGCCCACATGGGTCTTCAGGGCCAGTGTGTAGACCGCTCCCGAGTCCACTGACTCAATGGTGGCCAGCTCCTCCTTGTGCTGCTCCATGAGATCGGCCAGGTTGAGCATAAGTTGTCCCCGCTGCCTGGCTGTGATCTGTTTCCATGATCCGTAGAATGCCGTGTGGGCAGCCTGCACTGCCTTGTCCACGTCGCCGGAGGAGGCACAGGCCACTTGGCAGAGCACTTCCTCATTGGTGGGATTAACAATGTCCAAGGTGCGTTGACCCTCGGCCTCCACGAACTCGCCGTTGATAAACAGTTGCGTGGGCACTCGGATCTCGCGTTTGTTGGCCTTCAGCGTGAATCCCTCAAAGTCCAGCTGCTGACCACTGGAACCACCGCTTCCCTGGCGCATAATCTTCACCAGCTGGCTGAAGAACTCCTCGAAGACGGGTGCCATGAAAACCTGCTCGTTCTCCAGCGGCACATCAAAAGCCTCCTTCACCTCCTCCACCAAACGGACTACATCCATGGACCCGGCGCCGGCGGCAAAGAAATCCGTGGAGGATTCGATTTGCTCCTTGAGTATGGCCTGCCAAATCCCCGCAAGCAGGGTTCGCTTGCCCAGCTCATCCTCGGTGAAATCCGTGATGGGCTGCTGCTCAGCCTGCTTGAACCACTCGCTGGCACTGATCACCTTGGAGCCACGCTTAATCCGGCGAATGTTGACGAAGGCCCCATCGGTTCCTTCGATGAGGAGGCCACCACTGTGGACCCAGGCTGGCTTGGTCAAACCCTTCAGACGCAGTGGCTGTGCATTGGCAACGGGTCCCGCGGAGTACAGATGGGCTCCAAAGAGACGAATTTGCTCCTCGGTGCCATCCGCCTGGACCACAGTGGCCACGGCTCCCGGAACCGAGTCCAGACCTCGCACAAAGTTCCAAATCTTCTCTGCAGAGGCTTGCAAATTGATCACCTGATTTTCCGTCTTGAACATGGCCGGATCATAGGTGGCTCCCACTTCCGTTTGGGTTATCTTGGGAGCCGTTCCATTGGCCACCATATCCACGGCCACGCCCATGGCCTTCACGCCCTCGGGGTACAGGAAGCGCTTGTAGATGGTGTCCAGCGTATCGGTGGGCTCGAGGTTCGTCTGGCGGGTGAGCAGCAGGGGTCCCGTGTCCAGACCGTCGTCTGCCCAGAAGATACTGAAGCCGGCTACCTCGTCGCCCTCGATGAGGGTCCAGGAGATGGCACTGGCTCCGCGGTGACGTGGCAGGATGGAGGGATGGTAGCAGATGCTGCCCAGCGGAGCGCCGTCAATCACCTCCATGGGAATGAACTGGGAGCAGAAGGGCAGGACGTTCAGGGTGGCGCCCACCGACTTATACTGCTCCAGGACCTCAGGAAGGGCTACGCCCTTGCGACGCCAGCTGGAAAACTTGAACACGGGAATCTTGTGGGCGGCGGCAGTGGTGGCCAGGATGTCCTCGCGACTGCCCTTGTCGGGAATCGTGAAGACTCCCACTATCTGGACATTCGAGCGCTCCAGCAAAAGCTCCAGAACGTCAGCTGCAAAGTTGCTCTGTCCAATAATTGCGATTTTGAGTTTTAGCTGAAAAGGGCATTGAAATTAGGTTGGTCTCACAACTGGTTCTGGGTAAAGAAATACTTTAGTGTATATATATACAGTAGAACTTTCACCCATTCCCTACACAAAAAGATAAGCAATCGTAATAAATTTATTGAATAATGCACGTGTATAAATACAGTAGAACTTTCACCACCTCCCTCCACAAAAAGATTAGAACTAATACACTTCTAGAGATAGTTCACTTCCATGCATTTACACTCTCTATAGCTAATAAAACCTATTGTAGACTTTTCTAATTAAGGAATTCTTCGTATTGAAGTTCAGCTAAACTTGTTGGTCACAATTGCTAAAGAAATCGGTTTAACAAGAAATAATGATTTAGTTAATTCAATAATCAGTTAATTTATATTAAGCCTTTTGGGTCAAATGTAAAAAGTAACTGGAAAATAAATCATTTTATCTCTTTAGAAAAAATCAAAAAAATTAAATTTTAAATTTGTAAATGCTAGTAAATATTTTTAATATAAGCTTCGAACTTAATGTTTAATAGGATGTGCTTAAAAAATTAAAATATGATTTATAAAGATACACAAAGTCAAAAATTAAAAAACGACAAGTACGTATAAAGAGCTTATTTTCTTAGCCATCTTTCGCATTATTATTAAACTTTATTGCAAATACACTGGCCACTAAGGTACTTCGAATGATTTAAATTAGCTTAAAATTTAAAAATTGAGAAACATCAAATTTTTGCTTGCATCTTATTTAAAACCATTTTTAAAAACATTTTTCAGATAACGCCTTCTTGGACCAGTATTGTCCAAATATTTATATATGTCGTTTATAATAACGAAATTAATCACGCAATCCACTAAAATGTATACTAACAGCCATGGTTGGTGACACTTTTTCAGCACTTTGGAAATCAACACTTCTCGTTTACAGTAATTCTTAAAAAGTACAAAGCAAATACTATTTCACAACTTTCTCTCGGTTTATTTTGTCAGGCCGGCAAACTATCAACTGAAATCGCGTGTACAAAGCGGCTCGTATTTATACCTTGGCAGCACACGAGCAGTCCATTATCGTTATCAACCGATTATAAACCAAAAATAAAAACAAATCCCAAAGCATAGTGACTCTGTTGTTGGCCCACTTTACATATACATCATAATTAAATTATAGAAACATCAGATTTCTTATCAGTAATAACGTAGAAAACCTGGAGCGCAAGCTTTGAGAAATATTGTGTGCATGCCGATTTTTCATGACCAGAGGGCCGGACCATATTATTTTTCGATTTAAAATAGCCAGGTGTAGGAACAGTGTTCTATAAGTCGAACTCAGAATTTAAGCAGGGATTTTTTAAGCGACTGTAGTTCCCCAGAAACATCGCTTATTTGGCATAATATTTCCCCTAATGAACACGTATATTTTGGTGATCTACAAAAATAATCTATCAACTGGGAGTTGTGTAAAGAACCGTTCCACTACACTCGACCAATACTTTAATTACTTACATGTTTAAAGCTCCAGTGGAAAGATATCAATTGAGAAGCAAAATAATCTGATCAATTAGCAAATTGTCTGTTATAAATGCCAATTAGAGGTGGAAGGTATTATTCCGGTTAGAGCTAAGAATTACAAACAGTTTATTTCCAACCTTACGGCATGCTGTATTCCCTACAACCGTATCTGAAGTACTTTGCTTTACTGGGCCTTGTGCCTTGGTCGGAGAGTTCCCATTCTCAGTTCATACAGAGAATTTACTCGGCTTCCATTATTGTTTTTAATGTTGCCAGTTTCGTGACTTCCATTTATTTCCCCCAGACTTCAGAACCGTTCCTGTCTCTCATAGTCAACATAATCGTTTTTGCAGCTAAGATTTTGTGTGTCATCGTCATTTTGCTGCAGATGATGGTGAATTACGAAGATTACTACGTGTTCTGCATGGAAATCAAGTGTCTGGGATTGAGACTGCAGGGGGAACTTAAGATGCATGTAGGGGGGTTGAGCTGGCAGACGTATGCCAAAGTTATGGGACTCGGAATAGGCTTTTTGGTGACGTTAATACCCCCGATCTATGTTTCTCTAAACTTAAGCCTCCTCTACTTTTGGTCCTCGCTCTCATCAATCCTTATCATTAGGATGCATTGTGTACTGATGTTGCTCTACGTAGATCTTTTGGGACGCCACGTAGGACTGCTGGGCAGTCGACTCCGAAACGTCCTCGACTGTCATCTTTTGGGCGCCAATTGCATTCTGGATGGCGACTGCAATCAACTTTGCTCTCTGGAGTTTCTTTTGGCCCTTAAGCAAAGCCATATGGATCTATATCATCTTTTCACCCACTTCAACAACCTCTTTGGCTGGTCCATACTCAGCACCTACGTGGTTCTGTTTACAGACAGCACGGTCAACCTTTACTGGACCCAGCAAGTTCTGGCCGAGGTCTACGACTACCAATATCTTTATGCAACATTTTCAGTTTTTGTGCCCTCATTAACCATTATTTTCGTATTTTGCCGATGTGGAGAGTTTTGCAAAAGACAGGTGAGTGTAAAACTAGATAATTGTAAATGGTTTTAGTTATATTAAAAAGTACGATGTTATAGTTTAATAGTTATATAAAATATATAACATAAATTATTCCTAGAATGAGCTAATTGGGAGTTTTTTGAGAAGCTTGTCCTGCCATCAATCGTCAGCAAGGGAACCGGCCTATAATGAACTGCTCTTGGAGTTTATCATGCAAGTGGAACACAATTTGTTGGCTATCAATGCCGAGGGCTTTATGGAGACTGACAACTCGCTCCTTATGTCGGTGGGTACGGCTTATAACTTTCGAACAAAGCTCTATTTTGATTCTATACTCTCGTTTTCAGTTATTGGCTGCGAAAGTTACCTACTTGATCGTGCTTATGCAGTTTAGTTCCGTGTAGTTACCCTCAAACTTAAGTACATACCTGCTATATTTTTAAAATATTTTAACGGAGCCTCGTAAAAAATATTAGTTTATCTAAGATTATACGGAAATAGAACCATTAGGAAAAACAAAAATGTGAGTAAGCGATTTGAACGGTTCATCGGCGCAATGGAAACTTTATGAATGAACTGGTATGATAAGAAAGAAAATATAACATCTGACCACCGAAAAATGATCATTTGATGCAGGGGGTCCAAAATAAGTATACTGATAAGAATGAATTTCAAAATTCATGATGCTATTTAGTTAATGTCTAATGTTTATATATGGAAATATCACATTGAGCACGCGTTTAGAAGCTGCTTGGTGCTGAAATTTCGGGGCTTGTCTATAAAAAAAGTAATCGTGTTCACGTTTCGCTTGGTAATCCTGATAGCCCACAATCAAAGGTAGCCAAGTGATAACCCGAACGTTTGCCCTCCGTTCAGAACTAGCAAACAAAGCAAACCAGTTTCCATTAAGAACCATTTAGCTCCGATCCGGTTCCAAGCAGTTAAATATGTGCCAATTTTGATAGGCACTTGGGGCACTCGTTATAGCCGAAGTCCGTCTAATCGGTCGGCAAGTGTTTTCTACTTTTTATAAATTTCCTAAGATTAACGCTACCTTAGCGGTTCGAACCGGATTTCAAATTGAACTTTCCACGCCTTATCATTGTAGGGCAAATAAAAAAAATACAGCAATACTTGTGCTTTTGGAATGCTCATCAATTTACTAACAGAAAGTGAGAATCAATAAAAATTTAAAAGAACATTACAAATACATTTTAATCTATTGAGCAGGATCTAGCCATTACTTAAAGGTCATCTGAGCACTAACGCTGAGTTCCTTAACCACAACGCCTCCATCTTCGCTCAAAATCTCAAGGTTGCACTCAATTTGTTCCGTTTTTAAACATTCCGGTTGCACACTATCGATTTCAATTTCGGTTGGGTCTGGGTCCTCAAAATAATCAATCTTAAAATGTTCAGCAGGAGAAGATTCTTGTGGTGTGAGCTTTTCACTTTCGTTTAGCGATGTTTCACAATGTTCCTCATGGGCAGAATTTTTATCGAATGAAAGTACTTTCTCCAAAGCTTTATCTGGAGCCAAAGTACTTTCCATTTCTTCACCTTCGCTTATCAAGCATTTTACTTCTAGATTAGAAATCACCTTTTGTTCGCCGTATATATTTTTATCTTGGTTTTCTATTTGAACGATGTCTTCACCATTAGATAAGCTTGAATTTGTATGGTCGATATTTTGTTGATTAGTGTGTTCATCCAAAACTGTTAGTATCTCCGCATTTCCAAATTTGTTATTTTCAATAACCTGTGTATTTTCCGGATCGGATTCCGAGGTCTTGATTATGTCTGAAATAATATTTTCATCCTCCTCGTCTTCACCTTCATCACTCTCACCAAACTCTTGTTTATTGAACATTTCAATCGTCTCAGGATCAAGAAACTCGTGTAATCTTTCAGCAATTTTGGCCCATTTGGCCCTAGCGCCTATGGACTGCTCAGAAGTAGAAGGTGATTTCATTTCCTTTTGGTTTTCTTGCACAAAAATTCCTGGCACGAGATTCTTTGGATGAGAGCAGCTACTCGAAGTTATGTTTGATTTGTGAGTTTTTGTCGTTGGCGGCTGGATATTTCGTCGAGTGGCTTCTTGTAAGTCGTGAACCATTTTTAAGTCCGCCTCAAATCCCTCGGAGTAGAACGATTTCAGGACTGCCTCGGGAAGCTTAGGCGGCTCTACCACATCTACCTCCTCGCCAGATTCGTAGTCCGTAGAAGCATCGGATTGTATATCGTCGTCTATACTTTTGTTCTGACATGCTCGAGGGATCCTGGTACATTCTTCAACCTGAACTGAGGTCACGTGATCTTCTTCGTGTTTATCTTGAGAATAATCTTCATTCTTTTTAGATTCTAGGTTGTCATCGGTTGTATTTTCACAGTCCACTTCTACCGCCTCTGTAATTTCGCTTTTTTGCTCGAAAAGTTTAGATCCACCCGTGGACAAGCTAATGGGACCCAACTCCTGGGGATCGTCTGCCTGTGCTAGCTGGAGCTGACGCTCCCTTTCTTCGTACTCCTTCATACGAATAACCATTTTCTTCAGCAGATCATCCTCCTCCTCCCTCTGCGGAGTACTTGGTATATTTTCTTCGGAGCTCTCGTTGGAGATCATCGCCTGCAACATCTCGTTTTCATCACTGGTTAGCTGGTGCTCCGTTGATCCGGCCTTCATGTAGGCCTTAAGTTCGTTGTAGCTTCGCATGCACTCGATGGCCGATGCTGCATCATCGGATGCGTTTACTTCATGGAAATCCAGTTTTTGAAAGAATTCGGAGTCAAGGTTACCGAAAGTTGTCATAGCTTCCAGCGAGAAGAATTCGTCTTCAACGGCGTCGTTCTCTTCCCTACCGTCTTCTGGGGATTCTTGAAGGGCAGATTCCATTTCTCTTTGCTGCATAGCCTCTATCACCAGATGTTCCTCTGATTTTCGAGGCTTTGGCTTATATGGGGTTGTCCATGGGCGGCGAGCTTCCTGATTATGGCCCCCTACCCCAGGAGTCAATTCTTCCTCGGCTGTATCATAGTCCTCGGACTCAGTGTCACTTATCAAGGCTGGGGGAGGTGGAAGCTCTTCCAGCTCCCCGGAATCCTTTTTGACAACCATTAGCCTATTTTCGACCACCTCCAAGGTATCATCATATTTCTCTCGTTGATTAAAGCACCGGGTAGCGGAGGCTGCCACGCGCCTTTTGAGCTTCTCCTTTTCCTTGGCTATCTGAGCGTCCAAGCTTTCCGCCGTATCCTTGTTGAACTCCGCCAGATTCTTAGACTTCAGCAACTCCTGTGCGGCACGAATTTTCTCCACTCCCGCGGTGGGCTTACGACCTAGCAACAATGGCAATTTTGGATCACCCATGGAAATGACAAAGTCGGCGAAGGTGTCCAGGCATTCCCTAAGGCTTTTGCCACGCGCCGGGTTCTCCAATTCAGGGGGCACCAACTTTTCCAGTTCCGGTTCAGCGGAGTAGCTGAATTCCTCATCGGA